GTATATACATACATATGTATATACATACATATGTATATACATACATACATACATATGTATATACATACATACATACATATGTATATACATACATACGTATATACATACATACGTATATACATACATACGTATATACATACATACGTATATACATATGTATGTACATACATACATATATATACATATGTACGTACATACATACGTATATACATATGTATGTACATACATACATATATATACATATGTACGTACATACATATATATACATATGTACGTACATACATACATATATATACATATGTACGTACATACATATACATACATATGTACGTACATACATATGTACGTACATACATACATACGTACGTACATACATACGTACGTACATACATACGTACGTACATACATATGTACGTACATACATACGTACGTACATACATACGTACGTACATACATATGTACGTACATACATACGTACATACATATGTACGTACATACATACGTACATACATACATACATACATACATACATACATATATATATATACATATAATGTACATATATATACACATGTATAATGTTTATATATGAACATTACACCCCCATCATGTCAGTACGAAAAGTGGTTGATCAATTAAAATTGATATGGGAGGATTTCATCATTATTTTGTTCTTCCTCCAAATGTTTGAGAAACGTTGTTTGTTTTTTAGATTTTGTTTTCTTCAGGCAGAGACCTCAAACTCAACAAATATCTGATTTCATGAAGCTTAAGACACATAAAACACAATGAACCATAGCTCGGCTCCTGCTCCAGCACACCGCAGCGTCAGACTCTTTCCCACGGTGTCTAGCAGCCCTGAAAAAGACAAAGAGGAAAAACAATAAAGTGTTAAAAAGCGAGACAAAAAAAATAAGGAAAGTATTAAGATGATACTTAGACGTCTTAGCTCTTAAAAAAGTAGAAAATAGCGTTACGGCTCCAGAGGTGTGACTCAAAGTGCTTCGCTACATTTTTCATCAACACAGGACAGGGAACACGTAGACTCACAGAAGAGCATGTCGTCCAGCACCGAGCAGCAGAGCAGGGACGCCCTCCTGTCGGCAGCTGCCGGCTCCTGGATCAGCTCAAAGCCACTTCCCACCAAGACTCCAACCACAGCTGAAATACAGGAGATCTTTTATCAGCATCACCCTCAGCAGCAGCAAACAGAGTGTACTTGATTCCATGAGGGCATTTTTTTGTAGCTTGGTTGGTTGCGTTTAAAACTCCTAACCCTGGCAGTGCAAGTGCAAGTCTATCTTTCCTAAGCCTGACGTTGTACAATTTTACTCATTTAGCACCAAATTCAAGGTGCTCTGACAAAACCATCCAAGAATCACAAGAATCACAAATCCAAAGCAGCTTTTGTGCTTTAAGTATTGTAATGTTGACGAATGGATGAGCGACCAGTGTCCTTACTTGACAGCACTTTCCGCTGAAGTTGTTTGGTCTCCTCGTCTCCGTGAGGAGGCTTCCAACCGCACAGAGCCTTCACCTGAGACACCAACCACAGTCTCACTTCTTCATCACTGAATGGAGAAACAAAGCGATAGGTTCAAGTTCATATGCTGCAGAAAGGTGCAGGTGTCGGCCATGCTTTTAACTGTCACTCTCCTCAAACTCGGGGTGACTTGGAGATCCTTCTTTGTTGTGTTTTAGTTTAACTGAACTCAGTGTACAATTTAAAGATGTCTCTCTGCATCCACAGAGGGGCACTGTAACTCTGTTCTGTTGCGAGTTCAGTTGTAGCATTGAATGCTGTTAATTTGAACGTCACCTTTAGGTATTCAGGCGGTTTACTTCCCGTCTCTGAAATAACCAGAATATTCACACATAACTTGTAACTCAACCCACATGAAGCAGATAGTTTGCTTTTAAAGTAAAATGTTTCACTGAGAGAATTCTCAGTTAAGTGTTCTGAAGTAAAGTTCATAACTGTGTATTCAGTTAGTTATTAACATTTAAATCCTTAAAAGACTTTCTATGCTTCGATAGTGTTTGCAGAAGTAAATATACTGAAGTAGAATACTTCTGTCTTGTTATCTTCTGAGGTCAACTGCTGCATGATAGTAATCCCTGTATGCTTTTTTTCCATAAAAAACTAAACTACTTATATTTCTTACCTCTCTATGATGTACTTCAGGGTGAGGATGTTGCAAACGTGGAGATGGTACACCACCTCCAGGTTGGGTAGCCTCTGTAAAAACACTACATTAAATATTTCATTTCCTACATCCTGTATAAGAAAGCCAGGCACAGTTTTTCCTATTGTTCAGACCGACTGTAAAGGGATTAATGAACATTTTAAAGTAACTTCATGGAATTACAAATTGTGCAAAACCTCATCAGAAGTAATCAAGTCTCATGTTTGAACACACACACACACACACACACACACACACACACACACACACACACACCTGATCCCTCCTGTACTCCTGCCAGAGCAGTTTAGGGCAGAGGGCTCCCTGTGACAGCAGTTCTCTGCTGGACTCCAGCAGGACGCACAGCTGGACCTAGAGAGGACAGGGACGGGACACATTTTTACATCGTGTGTCACATTTGAATGTGCTTTGTGTCCTCCTGCAGAACAAGTGTACCGCAGCAATGAAAGAGGAACTCGTGAGATGTTAGCAGCTGCATCCAGAGCAGAAAGATGTTAAACCGCAGACGTAATCTACCAACAAGATGTGACGCAACGACCATTTTCAGCATGCAGAGATGTTGCAGCAGTAAAGCTGTGGGAAGAAAACACAAAGTCACCGTGCATGAGACACAAAATGAGAATGAGAATCCACTCACTACATTGTTTGAAGAAAAAGCGCCTGTCATCTGATTTACTGGCATGTTTTCAGCAAAACTGCACAGTATTAATGTATAACATTTAATCTAATTAATGCCGCAGTCATTTGACGATTTAAAAAGAGCATGGCGACTGTCGTTAGTAGCTATGGTGACAACACAAGTCAGCGGGGGCCTTAAAGCGTGTCACACTCACTAGTTTGAGAACTCAGTTTTGGCCAACCGTCAATTTATGACTTGCCGACAGAAATATGGAGCAATTGCAATCCAGCAATCCTCAAATTCCTCTCTAGCAGCAAGGCGACGGATATAGTCGGGTTGTTGGGAAGTTTGCTTAAAAAATGGACTCCGCTCTGACCATCCTGCTATGTTGATTTGAACGGGGAATGTCCATTCTACTGACATTCAATTACTATGGCTCCTCCATTTTACTTTGTACATCGTGGGAGAAGAGTCTCAGGGGTCGACGCCAACTCCTAAAAGTGGTTACCCCACTGCCAACCAGGCACCAGCTTTTTGGTTGCCAAAACTGATCATATGGTTGCCTTTTTTTAAGTCACCTTTTATTAAGAAATTGCCGTTATATGTCAGCTGATGAAAATGTGACATAAAAGTTCTATTTCCGAACAAAAAGTCTTTGTAGTTTTTGGTTCTTATCTGCTTCTTTACAGAATTTGAAAAGTAATATCTTTGAGCATATAATATTTCAGTATACAAACTAGCAGTAGTGCAGCTGTTCACAAATCCCCCAGGAATGAACCCAGCAAGTCACTCGTTTTTCCATCCGTTCCTTTACAATGTTGCTTTTCTGGACCTTTGTCCTGATTCCCACCACAGATCCTTCGGTCTTTTAAGCATTGAAGTCTTGGATTGTGGGCCCCTCAAGTGACGCCAACATCCGCTTGTCCATCGTCTCTTCTTTCAGAGACGACCTCCAGTCTGTCCTGATTCTAATAAGGAGCCGAGTCCCCTCTCACATACAGCTGAAGAGAAGGGGCAAAAGCTAATTGGTAGAAAATAATGACTATGTGTTGACAGCAGTAACGTTTTTAAAGTTTATTTGTCTATATGTTATAAAGTGGTTTCCACGGAAACCAAAGGGCTGAGACTTGCAGATATGTAAAAATGGTTGTCGAAGGCAATCTAGCAACCCTTACTGCCGAGGCCCGAGTGAACACTCAGACATCGACAGCATTCAGTTTGCATACCGTCCGGTTTCAGTATGCATCATTTTTCACTTTCCCAGTCTACACAGTAACACACTCCATATTAAAAACCTGCTCCGAATTAGTTTGCACCACGCCGATGGTGTGGTGAACCGTATGGTAAATGTGAGAGGGGATGTGATATACAGAAGCATAACAAAAACTAATACCGATATTATAGATTCAAGATGCCGACAGCCAAAGGAGACAATGTTTTTAAGTTTTCTTCTGCTGGATGTCAGCAGAAAAAAAAAATAATAATAATAAACAGATTTTTATCGACTTTCACAGGGGGTGCACCAGGATTTGCCGCTCTGAGGTTGTCAAAATGAGATTTTGCACATGCATAACTTAAATCTTAATAACACACTTACTGGATAATATATACAAAAGTCTGAAAATTAAACTGTATAAAAAGATTTAGTTTAGTTTAGTCCTCACTCAGATAGATATTTGTGGACAGTGTCCGATAAAGATCAGTATTAGAATTACACTAAGTGTAGAATTAGATTCCAGTGGCGACTGCCTACGTTTGTTTTCAAACATTTCCAAGACGCTGTCACTTTATTTCCAAGTTATACGAGTTAGAATAGAATAGAAACCCCTTTTATTGTCATATACAGGTGCTGGTCATATAATTAGAATATCATCAAAAAGTTGATTTATTTCACTAATTCCATTCAAAAAGTGAAACTTGTCTATTATAGTCATTCATTACACACAGACTGATATATTTCAAATGTTTATTTGTATTAATTTTGATGGTTATAACTGACAACTAAGGAAATTCCCAAATTCAGTATCTCAGAAAATTAGAATATTACTTAAGACCAATACAAAGAAAGGATTTTTAGAAATCTTGGACAACTGAAAAGTATGAACATGAAAAGTATGAGCATGTACAGCACTCAATACTTAGTTGGGGCTCCTTTTGCCTGAATTACTGCAGCAATGCGGCGTGGCATGGAGTCGATCAGTCTGTGGCACTGCTCAGGTGTTATGAGAGCCCAGGATGCTCTGACAGTGGCCTTCAGCTCTTCTGCATTGTTGGGTCTGGCATTTCGCATCATCCTCTTCACAATACCCCATAGATTTTCCATGGGGTTAAGGTCAGGCGAGTTTGCTGGCCAATTAAGAACAGGGATACCATGGTCCTTAAACCAGGTACTGGTTGCTTTGGCACTGTGTGCAGGTGCCAAGTCTTGTTGGAAAATGAAATCTGCATCTCCATAAAGTTGGTCAGCAGCAGCAAGCATGAAGTGCTCTAAAACTTCCTGGTATACGGCTGCGTTGACCTTGGACCTCAGAAAACACAGTGGACCAACACCAGCAGATGACATGGCACCCGAAACCATCACTGACTGTGGAAACTTTACACTGGACCTCAAGCAACGTGGATTGTGTGTCTCTCCTCTCTCCCTCCAGACTCTGGGACCCTGATTTCCAAAGGAAATGCAAAATTTACTTTCATCAGAGAACATAACTTTGGACCACTCAGCAGCAGTCCAGTCCTTTTTGTCTTTAGCCCAGGCGAGACGCTTCTGACGCTGTCTGTTGTTCAAGAGTGGCTTGACACAAGGAATGCGACAGCTGAAACCCATGTCTTGCATACGTCTGTGCGTAGTGGTTCTTGAAGCACTGACTCCAGCTGCAGTCCACTCTTTCTGAATCTCCCCAACATTTTTGAATCGGTTTTGTTTCACAATCCTCGCCAGGGTGCGGTTATCCCTATTGCTTGTACACTTTTTTCTACCACATCTTTTCCTTCCCTTCGCCTCTCTATTAATGTGCTTGGACACAGAGCTCTGTGAACAGCCAGCCTCTTTTGCAATGACCTTTTGTGTCTTGCCCTCCTTGTGCAAGGTGTCAATGGTTGTCTTTTGGACAACTGTCAAGTCAGCAGTCTTCCCCATGATTGTGTAGCCTAAAGAGAGACTGAGAGACCATTTAAAGGCCTTTGCAGGTGTTTTGAGTTAATTAGCTGATTAGAGTGTGGCACCAGGTCTCTTCAATATTGAACCTTTTCACAATATTCTAATTTTCTGAGATACTGATTGTGGGATTTTCCTTCGTCGTCAGTTATAATCATCAAAATTAAAAGAAATAAACATTTGAAAGTCTGTGTGTAATGAATGAATATAAGACAAGTTTCACTTTTTGAATGGAATTAGTGAAATAAATCAACTTTTTGATGATATTCTAATTACATGACCAGCACCTGTACATACACGAAATTTGACTTCTGCATTTGACCCATCCCTGTATATAGGGAGCCAATGACAGGAGCCAATGACAGGCGCCCGGGGAGCCGGGGGCTCAGGGACACTACGACACGTGACACATCCCAGTCGAGGATCGAACCGTTGACCCTGCGGTTACCAGACAACCCTCTTAAGCCAGTGAGCCACGGTTGCCCGTGTTCATTGACAAAAGTTGATTTAATACTAACAGACTAACTCATTAAATACGCTGAATCACTTTCTTCAAATTGAGGATTTTGTTCACGGGTTTGTGGGAGCCACTGTGACTCCTGCATTAACTTATTCTTGCATGAGGGGACGGATTGAATGCTCACCTTGGATTCTTACGGCCCGTAGAAACAAATCATCAACTCTTTACTGTCAGATACTCACTCGCTGAGAGGACGTGAGGAGCCCTCTCCTCTTCTCCTCTTCCTCGCTTCCCGTGATCTCCATCAGCCTCTCCAGCACCATCTTGACCGACAGCGCCGCCGCCGGGACGCCCAGCTGCGAGGCCCGACGCCTCAGCTCGCACGCTGTTCGTAGACAACACACCCTGTAGTTCACAGCATTTCACTCTGTGGCACACTCTGCTGTGAGCTGTGACCATTTCTGTAAGTCTCTTTTGCGGTGTACAAAAAGTAAGCAAATGAAAACTGACAGTTGTCCAGAAGATAAAGAATGAACAAAGACGGCCGCCATGAAAAGGTGAAACTTGTCCGTGTCGTGCCGTCCAGCAGCTGACTCAGATATTAGCTGTTGGAGAACCGATGTGCAGCACTGAGGCAATTCAAACACTCACCCAGCAGTGAACATGCAGAGGTGGATGTGGCGCCTTCAGAGCCCGCCTGTTTCTCCTCGCCGTTCTGAGTGCGGAAAATGTTGCACGGATCTGTATTCTAAAAGAAATGTAGAAAACAATAAAAAAAAACTTAAATTAATAAAATATTAGTGAAAGATCATAAACAGTTGAATTTGAGGATTTTACTTTGTCAGCCCTCGAACCAGTTCCTAGCACAAGGAGCACAGGTGAAGCAGCTTTCCTAAATCTTTAAAGGCCCCTCTACAGTGAATCACACATGTGTAATTCACCCAGAAGCCCTCATTCCAGTAAAATGTCTTTGGCGGTTTGGGGCTAAAGAGCAACGTTCCTTTTAATCACAATCCAATGCAGAATATTTTCCACCAAAGCCAATCAAGTGGCACACACAACAAATGGCCAGTAGGAGCTCCAGTTACTCCCATACAGTCTAATACAACATTACTATTTCTTTCATTTAGAGGCTTTTTTCTTTTTTGCAACTGTGAATTTATTGCATCGTTTGACAGTCATGGCATTGTCAGGTGTTACACTCCTCTTTCTCAGTCCACAGATTAGTATAAATTGTCCTTATTGTCGTGGCACAGTGTTTGCCCATTGGCTGTGCAGCCCAGTGGGGTACGCTCACTCACCCCGACCTCCCTGAGCAGACCGCAGAGGTTCTGCTGCTGTTCCAGCAGCTGGATCGCTGCCTCCTGCAGCCTCCGAGCATCTTCCTGCTTCGGCCTCTTCACCACACGGCCAGCTGGGAAAAAAACACGAAATGCTGCAGACTTCAGACAAATGTTTATGTGGACACCGTTTCAGTATTGTATAACACAGTTTGCCAAACCGTATGTAATTCGGTTACTTTGAAGTCTGAAGTTGAGGCAAAAACTAAACTGACTCAGATTAGATGACAAATATGTACAGGTGTTACGTCGAAGTTTGCTTCCTCGTCGAAAAGTGTTTCCCTCCTATGAAGATTAGGGGGGGTCCAGGTATAGGTACGGGAACGCATATTGACGGGGAAACAGTATTCGGCAACACCGCTACCTTCAGTGGGTGAACTTGTCTAAAACAAACGTAACTAGGAATGGTTATCCGTGAAGGGTCACGCCAAACTCCACTAAAAAAAAGCTTCCAATTGAATGTATCCACGTCAATGGCCGGAGTTGATTAATTTAACGCCATAATTAATCGCTAGCATAAGTTAACGTTACAAACGCTAGACAGTATTTATCGAGACAATACAGACGCGGTCACGATGACATCAACGGGGAAAATAGACTAGGATAGTTAGTCTGACTACATTTTGAGTGTGTATTTTCATTTTAGACTGTATTCGCGACACGTTTTGTTTGGTGCTCCATAAGAACGCCAACATTAGCTAGCTGCTGTCAACTCACCGAGGAGGCTCGACAGAGTCCTTTTCTGAGAGACCGTTTCACACGATGCACTCAGTGCCATTTTTACTTTACGGCTGAATCAGCACTTCGAGAGAAAGTCAGCGTTTCAGCCAATTGTCCTTCTGAAAGCAATACGTTTGACGGCGCTAAATGAGTGCATTCATTCCCTGGTTAGCTTTTCCCAGGCTGCTACGGCACTGTTTTGGTCCACTTTCTCCTCCATGTTGCCCCTCGCGCTCTTCTCTCCCATTGGTCTGCGTGAGAGCCAATCAGGATAGACCACTCTATGTGTGGGACAAACAAAGAAGTATTCCGGAGATTTTAAGTGACGCAGAGATCGAAAAGTGGCCGATTGTATGTCACTGTTTTTCAGCGGCATAAACCGATCTCCCTGGAGTGGTATGCCACTCCTTTTTCAACTGCATGTACCGTTTACTGAAGGCAGGAGCTTTTAACATTGGCCATAATATCAGTTCCAGGGTACATAAGCAAATACGAAATCACTTTGTCATTTCAAAAGCCTTGTAGGCGCTACTTTGTCAATAAAGTCAGAAAAAATACATTTACGCCATCACTGTTCGTGAATCAAACAATTTGCACACATTTGCATATGCATCAGGAGGCGGCACAATTGTGTCTAGTGAACTTCCACTTTTAAGCGGTACCTGCCTTCAGGAAACGGTAGCTATATGCCATTGGAAAAGGAGTGGCCTACCTACCACTCCAGGGAACGGTATATACTGCTGAACACATTGGCATACCCTCCGCCACTTTTCGATCTTGGTGCTACTGTTTTTTTTAATGTTCGGCCTTTCCTTTTCTTACTCTAGATAACTTTATACATTTTTTTTAAAATCCAATCTATGTATATATGTATTTGTGGAACAAATATAAAACTAAATTTAACGCAACTTTAAAAAATTTGTTTTTACCCTCTCTTGAAGTCAATAGTAAATCATTTTATTTTTGCATCCACCAAACAGTTTCCTGTGTTTAATTTGTTCCTTTTTTTGCGAGTCAGCGATTCAAAAGCAGGTTTCTCCTCTGTGGCTCTGGTGTTTGTTGCTGAGCAACATTGTGTTTTCAAACACAATCTGAACTCTTGTTGTGTAGCCTACCTTTCCTCTTGTCCCCTCCTTTGGAACAGTTTAAGAGAATAAGAGCCTCTCGTTACTGCACCCTGTGATATCACACAACATCTCTGCATTGCGGATCACATTTCATCGTACTGTTTGTGTGTTCTCTTTGTTCCCAGTTTTGTTTATTCTATTAACTGTCAACAGAGCAGTGCTGTAAAAGAGCATGTGTATGCTCAGCTGATCTGTATTTAAAAGGGCTAAATAAATAAAACTGGAGGTGAATTTGGAGTCGCTATGATGTTGTTTTCCCACGATTTGTTATTTGTTGTTACATTGCATTATTTAATGTCACAGACAAAGCATTCTGTTGCAATCTCGAAAAAGGGTTAAACACAGCCAATGGAGTGGTCATGTGGGTTAGAATCAGCATGATCGACGCAGGAAGGAAAAAGACAGAATGAAGTGTATGTGTATTTTTCTCAATACTGTGTTCCAGTTGCACATTACATACATACAACACTGATGGTGGAAGAAGTATTCAGATGCTTTACTTGAGCAAATGTACCAACACTGCAATGTAAATCAATGTAAATACACCACATTGCAATTAAAAGTCCAGTATTCAAAATGTAGCTTAGTAAAAGTACAGTACTGTAATAAAGTACTCATCAGACACAATGGGCCCTGTCAGTGTTACTTTACTATACATTACAATGCTGGTGTATTGTTACTAATGTATATACGGTACATCATCTTTTATAAGCTGATATACTGTTTGTATATGATATATTAATCTTACTTTATACTTTTCCAAGGGTGTACTTCTGTCCACAGTTTTTTCCCCAGCTGTAACTACTCCATGTCCATTGTTGCATTGTGGTACAACAGCGTCCATGAACACCGCAAAGCAAATCTGAGTGTACATGGAGGCATTTTAATGCTAGTACTTCTTTATTTTGTCCTTTTTCTCTTTTTTTACCCTTTACATGCATCAAAAAGGCAGTCCGATGTGTTTTACAGATGAATATTCACAAAAACATTATATATAAATATAAATTAATTAAATAACATTTAATCAAATTCAATGAAATACATTTTAATGAATAAATAAGTAATTTAAGACTAGACTAAACACGTAAGACAACATGTTTAAATAGGAAAAAGGAAAAATAAAATATAAATGTAAAAAATACATATACATACATATACAAATATTTGTATATTGTAAAGCCCTCTGAGGCAAATTTGTGATTTCGAGCTATACAAAATCAATTAAATTTAATTGAATGTATATATATATTTATACATATATGTATACACCCCCCACAGTGCCTCAGTGTGGCCCTAGCTGTAGTTAAAGCAACCTTTAGTCCCTTGGGCTTCTTCCCACCTTCTCTCTCACATCCTTTTTTTACAATGTGAATGCCCCACTGACTAATACACAGTAGAAACGCTATGCACAGCGATCAGGACGCGGGGCATGTCAGGACAGGTGTGACTGTCGTCTAAGCCTCGTCCTTTTTTCATTATAAAGATTTAAAGGGTTGTCTTGCTCTACTGTGGGAGGCTGCAGTGCTTTCTCAAACTCCACCATGTTTGTGATGTGCAAAATCAAAAGAGAGAATAAACACTTTGAAAAGAACAAACAGGATTGTGACTCAGTTCAGGTGTGGCATAATGAGTGCCACACCTGGCCCGAATCCCATTGAGTGTCCATGACTGTGCGGCGGCGGCCTCCATCTTGCCCTCCGTGTGTTGGAGTAGAGATCGTTCTTCACGGTGTGCAGAGTGTATTTTCTGGACTTCCCAGCTTCATTGCGGCAGGCAGGCGGCAGGAAAACCGTCTCGTGGGAGCCGCTGAAAGGAACTCATGAAAACTTAATGCAATGTGTCCTCATGAATTTTTAAGAGGCCCCTCTTCCCATTGTGCTGCTAATGTGCAGGGTGGTTATACAAACAGGAGATGCTGATGTACCGGGCTGAGTGCAAACTCACCAGCAAGGCAGAGCGTCATCTCCGTGAGGAACAACACACAGTGACACCTCAGCACGCACACACACACACACACACAGTCAGCTACAGTGGCAGCTCTTGTCTGGATCAAGTGAGCCACTGACACTTTTGACAAGTGTTGATTGAAGGCTGACTGGATCTGGACCTCAGCAGGATTTCATGCGTGTGTGTGATAAAGTTTGAGAAAGAGACAGAGTGAACGTTTGGCGTCCATAAAACATGCATTGGCAGATTTGTAGTTGTTTTGTGTATCTTTGTAGTCGTTTTGTGTCTCTTTGGAGACTTGTTGTGTCTCTTTGTAATCATGGTGTCTCTTTGTAGTAATTGTGTGTCTCTTTGTAGTTGTGTTTTTCACTTTGTAGTCATGCATCTCTCTGTGGTTTTGTGTCTCATGTTGTGTCTCTTTGTAGTTGTAAAGTGTCTCTTTGTTGTCACTCTGTGTCTCTGTGTAGGTGTTTTGTAACTTGATGTAGTAATTTTTTGTCTGTTTGTAATTGTTTATTGTCCTTTTGTAATCTTTTCGTGTCTTTGTATTTCATTTGTGTCTCTTTGTCGTCATTTTGTGCCTCTTTGCAGTTTTTTTGTGTGTCTTTGTGGTTGTTTTGCCCCTTTTCATAGTTTTTGTGAGTCTCTTTGCAGCAGTTTTGCATCCCTTTGTAGTTGTTGAGTAACATTTTGTAAGTGAAGGCCGGGGGGGGCCTTCACACTTTGGGCCCCTGGGCCTTTTCTCAGTATGCCCATTCAGTAATCCATCAGTGTCAACATCATGTCACTGTGATTGCACAAAACTATTCCAACAGCAGGTTAGCTCATAGACCACATTTCATGCATGTCATGAAAAAGAGAGCATGGGACAAACGCATTACATCCTCTGAAGCTACACTTTCCAGACACTCTTGAAGCAATCACTGACTTATTTACCATGTATTAATTAGCGACTGACGTTGCACTGTGGGACTACCAAAAATACTTCATCTTTGAATTACAAAACTTGATAAAGAAATTAAAATATAATTTAGTGTGTTCAGTACTTGTATAGAACTTACTTTGACTCAGAGTTAACAATAACCAAAAACAAAGAAATTATGTGAAAATGAGTAAAAGATGCAGATTGTACTGCAAATCAAATAAACAATATTTAAAAAAATATATATCTTAATACAGTTCATGCATATATTTGGACAATATGGACCACCGCTAAAATGTATTAATATTTCCAAGTTAAACTCTATTTAAGCTCAAAAATTATTTGTAAGAAAGCTGATTTTGCCCCCGTTATGTGTGTAGAATCTTTTAAGTTCCCACTTATTGCATGAATGTATTTAGTTCCAGTTACACCCATGTAGGTCAGGGCCTCTAGTGGCAAAACAATCAATAGTAATGCTACAAAAAGGGTTCATGTTGTAACCTACGAGGAAGCGCAAAGCGGTCGTGACTCAGAGAGATCATGTTGCTCTTCATACAGTCACCCTTCCCTCGGGACAAACGGAACCGGACGGCCCCCTCCTCTCTGCGAGTGAGGCGGCCACAGGAGTTGAAAACACGCCAGCACCGACTGAGACTCTCAGGCCTGACCACATTCAAGCCCAGCCTGGAGGCGTTACAGCTGTGCTACATTCCTGAGAGCTCAGTCTGATCTGCTGGGCCAAACACAGCAGGTCTGAACACTTTTTTCCCCCACTGCAAAAAAAACCTTCGGAAAGTTAGTGAAATCATGTAAAAAGAAGAGAAAAAAAAGTCTGCTGATCTTGATGCGTAAACAGGAAGTGCAGTCTTTACATTAAAAACCCTTCCCCTTCGTTCACTGAAGCCGTTTCTTAAGACAGAAAATAGCAAGGTTGTTGTGCTGAATTCTGAACAATGAGCACATATTCTGAAAGTTGAACCTACTGATAGTTTACTTTAACAAGAGTAGACAGATAAATCCTGGACCTTGTTCTCTGGTACAATAGGTTACTAAACCAAAGGCCTTCTGCATGGCTTGTTTTTCATTTGCCAGATATCTGCCACCGGCCGCACAAAGGTGGTTTGTGGTGCTTGAAGCAGTAAAATCTAAATTTGAAAAACCCTCTACAGCAATATGTCTTCACCGGAAACAATGTTCTTGGTACCCTACAGAACACACTGTTAACACACAACTGAAAGCACTTCGTACCAAACAAATAGTCCCTTGGAAAAAACTGTTAACAATGTGTTCACATTCCGGTTTCAGTGGAAGGTTAAGTATCTCCTGTGCGTGTTGCTACTGTTTTTTTGTCTTTTTCCTTTTTTAACTCTAACAATTGGAATTTCAACACATGCCGTGAAGCCGTTCTTTAAATACACAAAACGCCAAAACAACTGTTCAGCCGTCTGTGCGCTGAAAGGAAACTAAACCGTCACAGGATGGTATTCTGGTCTCACTCTTCGTGCAACATTCAGCCCGTTAGCTCTGTCTATATTAACACTGACTTGTTAGACGCGTTTCTTAGCACACACACTCTCTTAACAAACAGAAGCCTGCTTTAACAATGTTTTTATTTACTTTTTCTTCACTTCTCCTTGCTAATATTCAAGTACATGGATTCGCAGATCCAGGAGACACAATCAGTGGCAAATACTTTCATAACATCATCATGTTCCTGTTTGATTACCCCCAAATGATTCCACTTAACCCCAAAAACTTCTCCCCCCCCCCCCCAACCAGGCTAAGACACATGGACCTCTTGTAAACATGATGCAAATCGATCTTTGCTTTTTGATTGCAAAAAGTAATCTGGTACAAAAATATCTTTTATAGGCATGTCTCTTCTTAGGAATATTTACACTGAGTACCTCACAGTATAATCTGATTTTAAAAAGTACATACTGTAAAATAAACACAAAAGGGGGGGTCTCAAGAGGGGTAAAAGGCCTTTGGTTTTCATGAAAAATACGACAAAAAACAGAAAAAGTCCATTCGCTGTCAGGTGCACCACAATGGTGATGACTGGACTTGTGGTTGTCGCGTGTCTCGAAGACAAGACTGCGGGGACACCAAATGTCCACAGGTTGGAAAGAGTTCATTCTTCAAAAAGTTCTGAACAAAAAAATAAATAAATAAAAATAAAAATAAAACAAATATAAATTAAAAAAAATTAAAAAAAAAAATCAGGCTACAATCAGGCGTCACTCCTGGGGACTGCGGACCCGCACAACCTCCGCTTGGCAAAGTAGCCCAGGACTATGAGCAGCATCTCCGAGGTGCTGCTGAGGGCCACGATGAAGGGCGCCTGGGATGCGAAGTCGGCCTCCGCCCGGCGGAAGGACAGCTGCATGACAGCGAGTGCCAGCAGGCTGTTCTGGACGCCCACCTCGATGCTGACCGTCTTCCTCAGCGACGGGGCGAGGCCCGCCAGCTTGGCCAGGACGGCGCCGACCACCAGCCCCAGCAAAGGCACCGTGACCCCGACCGCCACGATTTGGGGCCTGACGTTGGCTAGAATGGACGCGCCCATCTGGTAGGCCATGAAGATGCCGCCGACGATGAGCGCGAAGCTGAAGGGCCGTATGAGCGCCAGTAGGACGCGCGTGAGGGCGGGCAGGCGCAGCTTGACCAGCATGCCCAGCGAGATCGGGATGGCGATGAACAGGAGGGTGCCGAGGATCTTCACGAACGGTACGTGCAGGGCGGCGTGCACGCCCAGGAGCCGGCCGTACAGGGCAGACGATAGGGGCATGGCCGCCGCCGCCACCACCGTGGAGACCAGGGTCATGGAGATGGCCAGGGTGACGTCTCCTCCGAGCAGCAGGCTGTACAGGTATCCGCCCCCGCCGCCCGGGGCCGAGCAGGTGATGACCAGGCCCAGGGAGAGCGCTTTGGGGAGCGAGGCCAGCCGGGAAACGCAGTAGGCATACAGTGGCATCACCAGGAACTGACCCAGCACCCCCAGGAGCAGCGGCACCGGGCTCTTCAGTAGGCCCCGCAGCACCTCCACCTCCACCTTGCACCCAAACGCACACTTGTTGACGAAGATGAGGGGCAGCAGGGCAAACAGCACAGGGTTCTCAGAAAAATGGGACAGGCCACCGGACTGGACCAGCCGAGTGGCCGGGTCATCGTTGCCGGGCGCCACTCTGATGGAGTAATCCGTCCTCTCTTCGATCAGAACCGGCACCGAATCCTGGTCCTGGTCCAGCAGCTGGATCTGCAGCTGAGCCCGGCCTGGGAACCCGGAGCGAATGCTGATAACGTAGCTCTTGGTCGTCGCTGCGTGGCCGCTGTCCGTCACATTGAGTATGGAGAGGACCTCCGGGTCCAGGGAGCGGACAGTCACCGTCTGCTTCCAGCTCTGGCGGCCCTTCCTGCTCTCCGCGGCGCTCCGGTACTGGCTGGCGATTACAATCACGCCGTTGGTGTTTTCAGGAAACTCGAATTCCTGCGACGACCCGTCCCCGATAGTAATATATCTGCTGCCGCTGTCGGCCGTCAGGTTAGTGTCGTTGCTGCTGTCAACGGTTAGGTTTCCGGTGGCCCACGCCCGGTCCGCTCCGCGGATAATAAGGAAGAGACAACAGAATGTAAATAGCGTCCTCATCTTATTGACGGACAGAGGGCGGAGGGGCGCCACAGAGACACGCTTCTCCCCCGCGAGCGGCCTCCCCAGACGGTTACACCGCCGCCCTGTTACACCAGGACGGTAAACTTCTCATTCTAGTCTCCGGTACAAAACAACAGCGTTGGCAGCCGGCTCCACATCTCGTCTGGTTCCCATTTTCTTGCTGCCTTTATACCGGAACCTAAACATCACCCCGCCCTGTCCTGTCAGAGCCCACAGCTCTACGGCAGCAGCCCCCTCCGGCACACAGGAACACACGCTCGCACAGGTCTCTCTCGCAGCTTCCCCTTTTTTTCTACTCGATGCGAAGGTGTCCGTCTCGGTGAACCGAAGCCTCGCCTAGTCCTCCGTTTTTATTGTCTCCCCGGTTTGTGATAACGGAGAGCATCGTAGCTCGGCTGCCGTTTGCTCGCTGATCAGATTTAGTTCAAGCTAGCTTGAGTAAAAGTCTCACTTCCGGTCTGGAAATTCCAAAATAAATCACTTTATCTTCGAGCAACATTGGTTGGACGCAACAAAGCGTGTAATATATGTTTGTTATATGTTAACTTAATTGATTTGAAATTTCACTGGTAATTTACACCACCAAGGTCCTGGATTACTTACTAATTTTGATTTGTGTGTCAAAATATATTATGAGGTTGTTTTTATATTGCTCACGTGGTGAAAACTCCTAAATAAAGAGCTGTGTTCATTAAAATTAGACAAATTAACAAAAATTTGCCGGAGTTGGTAGCCCACTGGTTGCATTGGACTTTATGGGAATTTAGAGTCAACAAGGTACATACAGGTGTTACAGAGGTCGGTGATTGGGGAGTCGTTATTTAAGAGGGGTTTCGTAATTCTCATAATTTTATCAACTTTGTATTACATTTTTATTGAGAGAACTGAGCAAAAAAAAGCCATTTACATCATTCTCTTGTATTGTATAGTATCATGCATGGTCCTCCAGGCGACCCAAAAGCTTCAGTCTTGTGTATCAGCTGGTTTGTGCTAGTTTATCATCAACTAACACGACAAGGGCCTTAAAATGGCTCCTGCTTTATCAATTCAATTCAACACAACTTGATTTATGGCTCTAAGGGTAATTGTTTGCAGCCGCTCAAGCGTATGCTATTCATACAGTTTGTAAAATGTTTTTCGACTAAACATAGACTGGGGTCATAATCAATGTTTTCTTGCCTGGTATTGTTTCTCCAATTGTTACTTACTAAATGACATCGTATACGTTTTAATTGCTTAATGAAAAACCCCACTACTTCCTGTCTCTGGCTGGGTAACCCTGACTAACTTGACGTAAACGTTTATTAATCCAATCGGAGCGGCCCAAAAGCGTCAACTCTCCCCGTCCTTCAGCCAATGCGCAGGGGCGGTCACATGGGAGAGGGAACACCGTGATTTGTAGGGGGGGGGGGGGGTAAACCAGGGATTACCCATCACACACAGACACACGCACTTAATTTCCTGACCAAAGTGAAATGGCGGAATCCTTATAAATGAAAAAACATAATGATTAAGTGATAGTTAAGCAGATAATAACGTTTGTTAACACAGGCTGAAGAGATTTTAACCATTTGTTATATAATATAAAATATGTCACGTGAATTTTTAAGTTTTCAAGTCTCTTATAAAATGCGGTTGCTACCAAGCGACTAAATGAGACTACAAAACGTCCTCACACTGTCTGGTTCGCTTTCACAGCGTTGTGTTTCATACTCATGTGACCGTGGTGTAGTTCGTTTGTATCCTGATGTGATGTGATATATATTTATATATATATATATCATTTTATTATGAATATTATTTAAAAGGAATAGATTCCAAATGAGTAACTTGTGAGTATTGAATTATCAATACCATACATCCTTGTGTCGTTCATGACTCTTAACCACAGACCTTATTTCAGACATCTAACCAAAAGCCTATTAAAAATAAAAAATATAAAATTCGAAATGAGGGAACTCGTGCAAAAATGCTGACTAATTTCCAGGTTTTAGGAGTCATTCATGCAGCACTTTGTTAAATCATATTTATGTGAATATACTAATTATATTTGTGTTTGACTGCACTCTTTTGCTCTTGTAATTCGTTTTTAATGGCCGCCATGTGTCATGTGATTTGCCTTTGACTGTAATAATTTTTTTCTTTTTCTAGAAATCAGAAACTGGCAAGAGTTTGCTAGATTTTAAATATCATCCAACCTAAAAACCCAGCCATAGTGTTGCTAACTTGTTTCTAATGAAAGTAGCTAAGTATCTGTGTTGAATTGAAAGTTTGTCAGGGTCCATCCCTCGTTGACACCGCTTCCAGCTCGTCTGTCACTTTCACATTCTCTGTCTTATTGTCTTTTACAAACATTGAAACTGTAGGTCTGTTGCTCCTCCCTATTGCCCTCTTAATCCAGACTTTCCCTGTCAGTTTCAGTCCCCTGACCTTTGATCCCTGTAGCATCTTGTGACACCCATCGATTGAGCTCACGGCAGACGCTCAACACAGTCACACTCACTGAGCAGTTTCCAGTTACAAAGTAGGCTGTTGCTTATTTGTCATACACCAACAGCAGACACAACCGGGGAAACCCTGCCGCTCATCTCGTGGACGAGGCATTGAAGGGGAACTCCATTCCGTCAGCATAACCCTGCAGAGGATCCCTTTTTATAGCAACTGTGCTCCTGCCGGGAGTCACTCACATATTTAAAAAGCCATTTTCAATTCATAACCCTCCGGTGTTCTTTCCAGGAGGGGGTCAGTGAGGTCACTGGGTCGATATTTTCCAGTGCAAATGCCACCTGGGCTTACCCAGGATATTATCTGTGTTAATATCAGTCCCGGGACGGCCTTGTTCACCGTCTATTGTGTTGTCATGAGTTGTGCGCCCTCCTTCTGTCAATGCGGCTAAGTCGAGGCTTCCAGAAAAAAGACAAGGCGGGAGAGTCCATACAGTGGAAACACTCAGCGCACGCCAAGGCAACCTGCTGGGACGATCGCACCGCCCCCTTTCTTTGACATTTCACAGAGCGACAGCCAGTTGTTAGGGAGGCTGTCAGGCACGCACATTATGTGCTGCTCCCCTCCCAGGGCTGTCTAATTATTTACCCACCGAATGATAATTTACCTCATGACTTATTTCGCGAACAGAGCAGGAGAGAGGGTCAGAGAAAAAAGTGAAGAGAAATGCAAAAAGGCCTCTCAGTTACATTCCACCCCCGCTCATCTCGACACTTCCCAGTGATGGCCTTGGTGAGAAATCACAGGATTCTGTTTACCCGGAGAACACAGCTTCCTGTATTTGCCTTTTGTGTGCGAACACACTGCATCTGTGTGAATATTCATGAGCCAAACTCGGGGCAGTGGTTTTGATTGGCCTTGCGTCATGTTGCAAATAAGTTGAGAGCAGTCGTGATGACTAATCTGAAAGAGCCCTGTCGTGAAATGCCAATTTAGCACCGGTCCATGCAAGGTTATCCACACAGGCTAGATGGCCTGGCAATATGTCACAAACAGGACCGAAGCCAGGATTTTATAAATACTGAGGAAAAGGAGGCCAAAGCCTCCCAGTGAAACTGCTGAAGGGGTGTCATACTGAACAAAACTCATTTTAGAGGGGGTGAGAGGAGCACATGAATGCAAACATTTTGTTTCACGTTGAGTTTAAACCCACTGTAAGCATTTTTGAATTGCCATCTCATTTTAACTGTTTACTTTCTGTAAGTGTTGCTCATGGATGAACAACAGGCACAGGCCCAGAGTGTCAGGGGGCTCCCCTGGCCTTCACCTACAAAATGTCACTCAAAGAGACATTAACCAACCAGGAAGAGAATCAAAATGACCACAAAGAAATAGAAAACTACTACTAAGAGACACAAAACAGCTACAGAGAGACAAAAAACGACCACTAAGAGACACAAAAACACAGAAGTGTGTAACAAAAATAAAGAGACACAAGAAGAAGAACAAAAAGAGGCTAGACAACTAAGGTGGAGAGGTGGTGGAGCCTTTTTCATGGCTGTGCTCAGGGGGCAGATTATGAAACAATGGGCCATTATAAAGCCTTCTTCTTATGCCACACATTGATTTTGATGATGAAGTACTAAATACTTTAACATACTTTAATCTCCATTTTAATATTCTAAATCCAAGAGTTAATATGGCAACTATGGCAACTGCGGCCGGTAGCTCCCATGAATTTCTCTGCATTTTTGTCTTTATTTTTTCCATGTTTATCACTAATGGCATATGAAGGAATACATTCATCAACATCTGAAAAGGAAGCGTGTGGATTAAGTGCAGCTGCACTTGAAACGATCACCGCTCCACGGCCGACCAACCAGCCATACCTGCTGGTCCAAACGATACCGAACTGCCCCAGGGAGGAGAGCCAAGATAGAAGCTAAGCTAACCCAGCTAGGACCCGAGGCTACTCCACTACCCAGCATGCTGCTGGCTGTCTGATGTTCTGTTGCAGAAAAATGAGATGAATGAAAGCAGTGGGAGGTCGGTGACTGTTGGGCCCACATCTTCACAGAGACCTGGATCCATCGTGGTCCAGGATCAAGCTGAACTTGATGGGCGGACAGCAGCACAGAGAGCAGGATTCTCAGGACCAGAGGAGGGGGACTCTGTGTTCACATCGTGATGCTTGGTGCTCAAACACAGTCAAAGTTGATGGACAATGTTTCCATGATGTCGAATTTCTACTGTGAAGATGTCGGCCATATTGCCCAGAGAATTGTTGGTGCTGCTGTTTACATTCCTCCTGATGCAAAATAAAAAATTCACTACAGTAATGTAAAACTGTTTTTGTTTGTCATGTGTTTGTTGTTACAAATGGGCTGCTGAAGTAAAGCTGAGGCTGACGGGAGTTTTGCAGGTATTTGGTCATAAATAAGTAAGTGTTGGAAAAATTGGAATATTGACCAGAGGTGATCAGTTCCTTCTGACAGGGCCTGAATGCGTGTAGCTCTGTCCTACCAGACCATCCAACCGGACAACCTTTATTGCAATAAAGTTAACCCAACTTAAAGCATGTGATGTCATATAAGCCCAACTCGGATTTTAAGATGTCCATGTAGTAGTTCCTAGAGGAAGTTGGACTTCATGAGCTTTGTCCTTTGTCTTTATGCCTTTGTTGCTGCTGTTGTTTGATATCTGACCTGACACACACTGCTGTAAATGCACGGCTGCCTGCTCAACACCTGCACCACAGAAGTCAAATGAAAGACTGCGTCAGAGGACGAGATTTTATTTTTCACAAGATAAATATATAAAAAAAAAAGAAAAAGTGCTGCAAAGTCTGCTGAACTTTTAAAATAGACCCTCCCTGTGTCGTAGACTGAGGTCTTGGCCTTGAAACCGCATGCCCCATCACTGACGTTGACATTTAACGCTCAAAGAGGGAAGCATCCAAAGCAGGGAAATCACTTCAATGGAAACATCTCAATGCAGAGCTGTGATCTCAAAGAAACAAGATGGTGGCTTACAAGGCAAAGTAGGAGGAGCAATCGATTCTTGTCAAAAGAAAAAATAAATATATCTATCCAGCATGTACATCCCTGCTCTTAATTTAAAAGTGTTTGGGACTGATACAGGTGAGGATGATTACTGTATTCTTTTAGACAGAAGCTTCTAGTCAGTGTCGAAGTGAAGTTGGCCAAGACCAAAACATTGGAACGGAAAAATCCTTTTTTTCTGACCGATGTCTGTTGAGTTTGGGAGAGCTCCTGTTCTCTTTCTAAACTACTGTCCTTCAGGCACTGGCGGAGGGGGGAGGGGGGGCACCTACGCAAGCACCTGCATCCAATATAAGGCGTTCAAAGCAACAACAACAACCAAAAGTCTGAATACAGTTATGAGAACAACAAAGATGAATAAAAAGAAAGAACACACAAATCATTCGTTAACCAAAGGTTTGAAGATTGTCGTATTCATCATAATGAAGCGGTTGTTGCAAAGGAGGGAGACTTTGTTTGTTAGTGTTACCAACATGCCGCTGTCCATTTTTTACTTTTAAAACACCAAAGTGCAAAAGCTGATATTTCATTCCTGTTAAATGTACACGTCCACCTTCTCACCAACAGAATTACCCATTTAAACCATCAGATGCCCAAAAAAAAAATAATGTGGACATGATCGCTATAACTGCTTTTCAAAGCTTCTTCTTTTTCATCATCATAAACTATACAGTTTGTAAAATGTGTTGTCTGGTTTTTTTTGTACATGGTGTGATTTGAGAAGTGGTGAGCGTAGCCACAGGAGGAGGAGGAGGAGGAAGTGGAGAAAGAGGGAGAAAAAAGGGCAAGTGAAGGGTCAAATGAAATCTAATGGGGAATTCCAGGGGGAGATGGAAACAGGAATAGATGCCTTCTCAGGTGGTATTTCTAGCCGTTGTGTATTTATAGAGTGGGGGGGTGGTAATCGATAGGCTCATTAAGTCCTCCTGATAGAAACAGTTAGACAGAAACGTTGACGCACAGCTCCCGTCGGTGTCTTTAAACTCATCTACTTCCATGCGGCCGTGAGCGCCGCCGTCACCTCTTCCTGGACGAGCCTTCAGTTCCGCAAAGCGGCCAACCTGGAACCGTGGCAGAAAGAAACATGGGAGAGATTAATTGTTTGGAGCTACAGTGAAATGAGATACAAGCTATAAATAAATAAATAAATAATAAATAAATACATAAAAGTTATATTTCCCTAACCCTCAGCGTCATGAACTATGACCGAGATACATGGGGCACGAACACAGCACCATTATATTCACCTAAAGCTGCTACAAAGACAGCATCACACTGCTCATCTCTATTTTGGAGGGATGAAAAGGAAAAACACTCCCACCAGATGTCATTAAATCAAATGAAAATCGATCTCAAAAACTAAATGACATGTATACTTGGATCTGAATAAAGCTCCAGTTGGTTGCCAACCAGGAAGTTAGCTTCGCGCTGGTTCCCTCGACAAAAAGCTAATGGGATTGTGTTTTTTCATTGCTTTTTGGATTGTTGTAGAAAATAAACTCGTTAATGGTTCTTATTTTCTTCAACCAGATAATCTTCACAAATTAACCCCACTTTAGGATTTCTGAAGCTTGAATACAATCGTCAGAAGTGAAAGGCTAATGTTAGGCTATAAAGGAACTACATCACAGTCACATGACCTCACGTCACCACCACTAGGATGACGTTTAGTCGTCTCATTTAGACACTTTTTTTAAGACACGTAGAAGCTTATTTTATATCGTAGACCAAAACGTTTAAAGTCTCTTCAGCTTGTGTTCAACACAGACAGTATTTCAAGGCATCTAACCAAAAACAGGGAACAACCACAACCCCACTTCAAAACCCCCTATCAACTCTGCCTTCAAAGCTTCAAGCTGTCCGCCTGCTTCAGCATGAAGCGAGAACAGCTGCCAGAAGCCCGTCAATAAGGAGATAACAACAACGCCGCCTAATGAGCATCTGACAGGTTGGCATGTGAAAGCTGGTAGCTGTGTCGTGTCCTAATTATGTTTCCTGGAAATAACTTGTGATTATACGGAAAGAGCACCACAACAGCAGACGACAAAGAACTTCACTGACATCAACATCAGTGTAATTGCTCTTCTTGGGTAGTCAAAAATAAAACAAAAAACTATTATTTTCTTTATCAATCAATCAATCTGTTGACCATTTATGATTCATCACTTAGTATAGAAAATGGTCAACACAATATCCCAGAGCCCACAGTGACATCTTCCTCAATCATAACATATTCAATTTACAATAAAACAGTAAAAAGAACTAAAGGATGTTTGATTTGATCATCGACTTTCCCAACTAACTCATAAATCTATAGTTTCAATGTCAATGAAAACCATTAGGACTAGGAGGCTGAAGCTTTACAGGGAGGTCAAGTGTGCGTGATGAGGTGTGTTTTTGAGTTCATGCCAATTGGCAAAAAGAGGGTGTGGCAGTGGGAGTGGCCTGTAGCAAAAAGGCGCAGAACTTCTAAACGTATTCCCGTACACGACCAAACTCATGGACCGTTTGTCGTAGACTCTGGTCGGAGGCATCGTCGCCCTCAGGAGAGGCTTCCTCTTTCAGGCTTGTTCAACTAACTGTTTGGATAATCCAACTAAAGAATCGGTCATGGTCTTATATTATATTTATGATTATACCTGGACCCTGGTCTTGCCTCCTGCTGTGGCCCTGCTGACACCCACTGCTACTATCATTATTATTAGTATCACCATGAAACCTCACCAGTTTATTGCTTACATTAAGACTATTATTTTTTGTATTCCAAGTTTTTTTAAATGTTATGGTTGAACATGCTAATATGGCATTATCTAATGGTAACATTTGGTGAATTTAGGAGAAAACTACAGACGCAGAAATGAACAGCTAAATGTGTGTTTCAAGAAGACGTGTTATGGAAGCAAAATAGCCCAAAATCTTTAAATTGACCAGTGCATGAAAAACAATGTTTTGGCCTGCAGTATCTCCCCTTAAGGACCAATTACCACCGACTACGAGGAGGCAACACAAGAAACTGTTGTATCATCAGGATTTCCTTGGTTCAAAGAACATACTGTACTGTGCATTTTAAAGTTAAGGCTGCCATAGCCCATTTTGACTGTACATGAGAAACCGCTGTCTAACCTCAGTTCATTTGACTAGTTTCTCCATCTGAGTTGAACATATTGTTTCTTGCAACAGTGTTCTGAGTGTGGGGGTAGTAGCTTGCTGTGTAATCTAATTTCCTGATCACATGCTCTATTCTAACTGCCAGTTCATGTGATTCTCATTAGACCGGCACCAGAGAGTTAAAAGAGTTGATCAGGTGAAGAATCAGTGTCTTGCTTTAAAGGCACACTATGCAGGAATTTGACACTTACTGTTTGTAAACACAACAATCAAAGTTGGCCCTTCCCCCCCGACTCCATCACACCAGAAGCGCAAGCCCCCGTACAGCAGCACACACGGCAGCGAAACCCGAACCCAGATCTACTCGCGTCATGGAAGGAGCTTTTGTCCACGTGGCGTTATGACTAGCTATAATTGCATTTTTCCGGCGCTGTGTCGGCCATATTTGTTGCTTCCACTTGGATAAGATGTGGACGTATTCCTCTTGACGTCAAACATTGGTTTGTGGACTGCCGTTTTGAACCCTCGAGTTTGGCATTTCGGCTATCGCCATCTTGGATTTTGGCCATGTCCATCTTGTTTTTTTGCAACCAGTGAACGGAAGTGACCATATTTGGACTGCGGAGGAGTGACGTAGAGACGCCGTATACGGCTCTGGTAGCAACTTGTCAATCACAAGGAGCCCCGCCTTAAAGCATCCCCTGCTTTATGGTCTGTTTGACTTTAAATGGACCATAATTTACTAAATGAACATCATGCTGTATTGAAGAAGACTTGAAACTAGAGATTGAGACCATAAACTCATGTTTACTGAGGTAATAAATCAAGAGAGAAGTAGAGTCATTTTATCATAGACTTCTATACAACCAGAGGAGTCGCCCCCTGATGGCCAGTAGAAAGAATGCAAGCTTAAGGCACTTCAGCACTGGCTTCACTTGCCGCCTGGCTGCAAATAATGTTGTTTTTCATTATGGATAAATCTGTTGATTTTTTCCGCAATTAGTTGTTTGGTCAAAAAAATTGGGGAAAAATGTCCTAAAGCCCAAGAGGACGTCCTCAAATGCCTTGTTTTGTCCACAACTCAAATATAATCAGTTTACTGTCATAGTATATAAACCAGAAAATATTCACATTTATGAAGCTGGAATCAAACTTTTTTTTTTTTTTCAAAATTAATCAAACTGATCAATCAACCAACTACCAAAGTCGTTAGCCACTAATTTAATAGTTGACCACTAACCGATTACTTGTTGCAGCTGTATCCTGAACGCACCAAAATTGTAAGAAAGATTACCTTTTTCTATACATTGTTTTCTAGGAAAATCCTTCATTGTATACCTTTAAGGACAAATGAGTCGGCAACGCAGATGTTGCATCCAACCTGAAATTAGGTAGTTGCGGGACGGAGCACATTGTCCTGTACCGAGCACAGGCGCTGGTCCTTACCGTCGAGACAGTAGGTCCTCCCTGTCCTGGCTCCGCGAGCCCTCCGCTCCCACCGAGGTGGCTCCGGCGGGCAGCTGGCTGAGCTGGTCCATCACCTCCAGGCCGCTCTCCTCTGCTATCTGGTGGATCAAGTCGTCCACCTGTTCCTGGGGCGTGGTCAGTGTCATCGCGGAGCTCATGGAATCCTCCATCACCTGGTGTAGGGGGGGACAGGGATGGATGGAGTTGGGAGTAGGAGAAAAGAAAACTCGAGAGTGCAGGACTGGGTTTTTCTAAAAGCATTAAAATACATGTACAAGACCAAATGCACATCATCTGCAGCCACTCACTGAGGTGTGGACGTCGAGGTTCTGGACTTGGCTTTCAAACTTGTCCATGACCGCAGAGACCTTCTGGAGATCCATGGAGCCCAGAGCTTTGTCCAGAGATTTGGTCACCTGGGCCATGTTTTTGGTCACCTGAGGGGAAAAAGAAGAAAAAGCCTTTACGACGCGTTTGTGTCATTCTGGAAAGACAGAAAACGACATGGTAATATGAAAATAGCTTTATAAACCTGCATCGGTAGAGCGGACTGAACGCAGCAACTTACCGCCTTCATGGTAACGGCGGTCTGGACTTTGGAGGCCACCGCGTCCACTCGAGACGACATGCGCAGCCAATTAACGGATTCATTTTTTTTCCGGATGGCGTTCTCCGCATACACTCTGGCACATTCCACGTTTTTCTGCTGCAAAGCCTGGCGATGAGACAAAGAATCTGTCAACTTTGAAAAGCTGTGTTCACAATTCACCTGGTATTCATTTAGTAAAATCCTCCATGTGTAAACGTGTTCAGACTGATGCACAGCATCACAGTTGCGTGATCTTTAGTGTCAACATTGTAAGGATGCTTTTTATAAATGGCGTCAACAAAGGCTGCACCTGAAGAGGGTTTTCATTATGGAGGTATGTTAGGATTCATTCTGACTTTTACCAAGTCTCTTGTATGTCACAGGATGATGACAAACACTCATTAAATAGTACCAGATCCCACAGTGACGTCTTCAAATGATTTATCTAAACTGCCAAAATCCAAAGTACAGTATTCCACTTAGAAACATAAGAAATTGGCCTTTTGGTCCTGCTCACAACTAAACATGACACGATATACCTGTGGATGGTTGGGAGGGAGAAACCGGGTTTTAATGAATTTTCTTAATTGGGATAATCGTGAATTTACTCACAAGAAAAACCTGTTCCTGCTTGCTATCACGTAGAAGAAAGATATAGATCCAGATTTTTTTTAAATACAGGAATTATCATGTAAAACAGAGCAGATTAACACAATGTTGGGATTTTTCGAAAATATATTTCTCCCTTAAATTAAAATTTCAAATGTATATTTCTCTATAAGGGGGACCTTATGATTTATGATGATCCTATTTAAGATAAGTTGTTTTTCACCATGAAAGGATGTATGTCCTATCTGCGACGCAATCAAAATACTTGCTTCTTCAAATTCCGGTATGTTTAAGTGTCATTTTATTAGTTTGTTTTTTTTTGCATATTTTGATCATTACAGGAATAATATAGTGAATCGCAATTTTTGTGGCCAATCCTGACATGAGATTTTTTCATATCGTCCCGTGTCTAGTTAGAATATAAACAATTAATGTTATGGGGACAGAGTCAACTACATATATATATATACACATATACAGTATATATACAGTATATACATATACACATATACATATACACATATACATACATACATATACACATATACATACATACATACATACATACATACATATATACATATATACACATATGTATTTTTACATACATATACACACATATATATACATACATATACACATACATATACACATACATATACACACATACATATACACACATACATATACATATACATATATACATACACATACATACACATACATATACATACACATACATATATACACATACATATACATACACATATACATACATACACATATACATACATATATATATACATACACACATATATACATATATATATACATACACATATATATATACATATACATATATATACATATATATATACATACACACCTATACATACACATATATATACATATATATATACACATATATATATATATATATATATATA